TTTTTTTTTTTTTTTTTTTTTTTTTTTGCGGTACGCAGGCCTCTCACTGTTGTGGCCTCTCCCGTTGCGGAGCGCAGGCTCAGCAGTCATGGCTCACGGGCCCTGCCGCTCCGCAGCACGTGGGATCTTCCCGGACCAGGGCACGAACCCGCGTCCCCTGCATCGGCAGGCGGACTCTCAACCACTGTGCCACCAGGGAAGCCCCTCCTCTCTCTTTTTTGACACAGCCAGTTCTTGAAAGCTTGTTCACTCTTCCTCACCTCACTGCAGTCCGTCCCCCTCACCTGTGAGCTGTTCTCACTAAGGATACGAACTTTCTTGTTGACAAAGCCAGGGAGTACTTTGCAGTCCTTATCTTCCTTGATGTATTGGTGGTGTGTGACACTGATGGCCACTTGCCCCATGGTGAAACACCTCTTCCCTTGGCCCTGTGATTCCACATAGGCCCCTCCACTGCCTTCTAGGAAGGTTCCTCTTCTTGTTCTCATCCCATCAATGCCAGCTTCTCTCCAGCCCTGCTTTTTTCTCTTGATGGGCCCCCTGGTTATCTTACTCACATCCATGCATGTTGTAACCCACACCAAAGCTTTGTCTTCCATATTTCTTTGGGATTTCAGACCCATTTGTCCACCTGCCTGCTAGAAATCACAGCTTGGTTCTCTTGCCAGTATTTCAAACACTAAATTCACCTTCTCCTCACCCACCTTCCCCCAACCTTCTCCTCCTGGGTTCCCTGTTACACTCTGTGTACATCATTGCCCAAGCCGGAAGCCTGGGCCTCATCCTTTTGACCCTCATCTACCACAGTCGACAAGTCAGGCCAGTTCAAACCCCATAAATATCTCTAGAACCTGTCCGCTACCCATTCCAGGCCACCACTGTCTCTCACCTGGATTACTGCATCAACAATCTAATCACAACCCCCAATACTTTTGATCCTTTCTAGTTCTTTCTCCATTCTGCAGGCAGAGTGTTCTTTTTAAAGTGCAAACTCATTCCCCTACTTGAGATTTTAAGTTACATCCCATGCCCTCAAAATAAAGACTGAATTTTTTGCAAGGCCCTTGCTCCTGCCTGACCTTGCCCACTGCTGCCCTCCCCCACTGCTGTGGTAGCCGCTCTTCCTCCTGTGTTAGTGCTGCACTGCCCCTTCCAGAACCCAGCATGATAAGCACTCTGCCTGGAATATATTTCCAACCTCAAACCGTTCATCTCCTTCCCTGTAGCTCCAATTCTCTTTCTCTGCTGGTGGTACCCAGACTGACTGCCTTTTCTGATATCCCTTAATTAAATCCAACGAACATTTGAAAACCTGCTAAATGGACCACCCAATGCCAGCATCAAGTTTATGGGGAGGATCTCAGGGTCCAGAGGCTCAGTGTAATTTTTTTTTTTTTTTAAGTCCAAGAATATTTGATCTAGAAAATAGCACACAAACACAGCCCTGGGCATACACATACACGTTTGTGCCTTTAAAGAAAATTAGACACATACAGAAGTGCTTTTTCTACTTTAAGTATTATTGCTATCTCTTCCACATTCCATGCTCATTTCTTCATCCAAAATAAAATATGGAATCAAAAACTTCACATCCCATTGTGTTCCTCTCACCTAACTCTACATGGAACAAAAAATGAGATGGAATTAGATGAGCCAAAGAAATAAGCAAATTGATTAGAAAATACACATAAAATTACTCATTTCAGCATGATGTAATAGGAAAAAAACATAGAGCTGGAAGTCGAGACCCAGGTTCTATTTCTGAAGATCACATACACTTGCTTTATAATCCTGGGTGAGTGACCTAATCTCTCTGGACCTCAGTTGTAGCATCTTCTCATGACAAGGTTGAATCTCCAAGGCCCCTTTCTAATGGACTATGTAAAGTGGGTCCTAGTAAAGAACTTCCCAATTCTGATTTGAGGGGCACTATAGAACACACAGTTACCAGAAATGAATCTTACACCGGTTTAACTACTTTCAAGTAAAAATAGAAAGGTTTTTTTTCCCCCATTTTATTGAAATATAATTGACATACATCACTATAAATTTAAGGTGTGTGGCAGAATGGTTTGACTTACTAATGTGAAATGATTTCCACAATGAGTTTAGTTAGCATCCATCATCTCATAGATAAAAGTTTTTTAAAGGCAAAAAACCAAAACAACCTTTTTTTCCCTTTCTGATGAGAACTCTTAGGATTTACTGTCTTAATAACTTTCATTATATATCAAGCAGCAGTGTTCATTGTAACCATGATGTTGTACACTACATCCCCGTTACCGATTTATCTTGTAACTGGAAGTTTGTACCTTTTGGCCACCTAAATGGAAAGATTTAATCACTTCATTATATCTGAAGAGTCACCTGTGAGGAGAGCTTATAAATTAAAAGTTAAAATTTCATCTTGGGACAAATTTAACTGAAAGCGTGAAAAATTAGGGCAAGAATTTAAATTATAAACCTCAGTTTTAATATTTGCATGTACTTTTTAGCTCTTGAAATTTGTTCCTGAAAAAAGTGACATTGATCTGTTGGAGGAACATAAACATGAACTGGATCGGATGGCCAAGGCTGATAGATTCCTTTTCGAGATGAGCAGGTGAGTTTGAAAACGTTTAAAAAGCAAAGATGGGACTTCCCGACAGAGAGTGTAAAAGTAGTTGCCACAGTCTGAGTGAGGGTAATGGGAAACAAGGAGTGGTTGGTAAAAGGTTACAAACTTTCAGTTACAAGATGAGTAAGGTCTGAGTATCTAATGTATAACATGGTGACTACAGTTGGTAGCACTGTATTGCATAATTGAAATAATTGAATTTACTAAGAGAGTAGAACTTAAATGTTCTCAAAAAAAAAAAAAAAAAAAAAGTAAAGATGCCCCTGGGCTTTCTAAGGAAGTGAATCTTTTGATTCCCGTTGAATTATCTGGGCCAGTTAACCTGCCTTAACTTGAAGCCTTTTTAAATCCCCAAATCTCCTCAAGTCTGAGTTGTGTGGATCTTGATTGTTTTGTTTATGTGAGTTCTCGCCCATGGGTGAGCCAGGGTCAGAGTTTCTTCACAGTTATCTCTATTTCTGGGCCTCTTTGGCTCATGTACTTTGACCTAATCAAGTCATAACTTTTCTGGGTTCTAGTCAGTGTCATTCTCCTCAGCACTTTGATCCCTTGGGATTCTAGCCCACTCCTTATACCTCAGCATCTCCAGGTTGTTGTAAAATAGAAAACAATGGGCAGACTCAGAGGTATCAACGTAGAGCCCACATAACTAAATAGCCAGAGTCTGGATGTCAAATCATGACACACGCAGACATCACTAATCGATCGTGGCACTCTAACCACGGAACCTTGGCAAGCTTTCTCAACCCTTCTCCAGAAAGCCCCGCAGCAGCTGCTGCTCCGTAATTGAGTTTGGTGTGTGAGCTGGGTTGCTTTGCCATCCCAGGCCTAGCGAATTGATTCTGCATTAGACAAGGACCAGTGATCCTGAAACTCTCAGTCAACCCCAGGGCAGAGCTCCTCCCCTGAGTGCCAGTGGCCTACATGGTGGCCAAGGTGAACATGCCACTCTGCATTTCTGCCCTATCTGGACTTATTTTTGTTGTTTCACCTCAACTTGCCATTTTCTATACTACTGTAGAACAAAGGATGGTTTTGAAATTTTGACACGTATGCCCAGCAACCCTTCGTGTTGACAAATACATGGCCACCTGCAATAACTGCCCCTTAGTAACTGTCTAGGTCTTTGCATGCATCTTAATCCTGCTATCAGCCCTGCCAGGAGGGCTGTCAGGCAGGGAGGTATTCTCTGCCAGCAACTGGAGGAGTTAAAGTTCCTGCCCAAGGTCACCTAATAAGAGCAGAACCTGGCCTGCATCTGTCTGATTATATGGTATAGTTTTGGATGAGGGCTGATCGCTAGTCCTACTGGACTGAAGTTTCCACCAGAGAGCAGGTTAGGCAGCGATTTCAGGATTTCAGAAGGCCTGGGCAGGTATGCCCACCCTCACCCTCTCAGAAACACCAAGCAGCCTGTATTGGTGGTGATCACAGGCCAGTGGCCTGTTATCTCTAGTCGCTAGTCACTATCCTGGAAGGCAGAGCTTTCCAGCCCTGAGGGGTGCAGCTAGGGACCTAACTGTGAAGAAAGAGGAAGGTTTGGGGATGTGAGTGGGGAGAGGATGGTGTGAGGAGAGAATGCCGGAGACAAGTTTTACCCTACAGTTCTGCAAGGCACACTTTGTGGCAAGTGAAGCACCATGGCAGGAGTGCAGGCAACTGCCCTTCATTTGCAGCAGAAGCGGGGAGTCTTTACATTTTCATTTCTTTTTATCGCTTTTCTGTCCTCAAGAGCTACTAGGACTCTGAGGAAGTGAAGGGGGCTTTAGTCAACGACAGTTAGTTCTCACTTTCTTTTAGCAATTGCATAAGCTGATTGGAGCTAAGGCCCTGCTGCACTTGCCCGAACACCCCCTGTAGGGCACTGGGAAATGGGCTCTCCAGGTGCAGTTGGCCTCAGGCCCTGTGCTTCTGTCCAGGAGAGGAACTCTGTGTGTGTGTGCGTGTTGGGGTGGGAGTGCTCTAAGGTACCATCACCTCCATATTCATTGAGTGAACATACGTGTGTTAAGTACATGTTCATTAGTTGATGCTTGCTCTTACAGAATCAATCATTATCAGCAAAGACTGCAGTCGCTGTACTTCAAAAAGAAGTTTGCAGAGCGTGTGGCAGAAGTGAAACCCAAAGTAGAAGGTAAAGTCAAGCTGCCCAGACTGGCAATGATGTTCATCTCAAGTACCCATTTACAAGTGCAATGCAAGTGCATATAGTAAACTGGATCCCTTTGGTGATTTTTTTTTTTTTTTTTGCTTGAAATCTGTTGGAATTCTGGCAGATAATTACTTAAGGTCTGCCCTTGGCTTGATGGCCTAGCCTGGGTTCTGGAACTCACAGCACACTCCCTGGACTCCTCTGCAGAACTGGGCTTTTGCTATCTGGGTATTGGTGAGGAATTTATTTGATCGTTACTGGCATTAAACCTACAGTTAGCTTTCTTGTAACGGGGCCTTATTGGATTTTTCTGAGGGAAGATTTGAGGCTGATATATGGTTTGATTTTGAGGCTGTTAAATTTGTAGGTGCTTGAAATGTGGGCAACTGAAGAGCACAGCCACAGAGTGCAGGCTGACTTTGGGGTCCTGATGACACCTGCCAGCTGTGACATGTCACACGTTTGCCCAGTTTTTCTATCAGTGGAATTGATCAATTGTCCTGTGATCTGACTCACACCAGGCAAGAAAGGGTTTGCAAAGGAATGTGGAAAATGCAGTAGCTGCTCTATGTATTCCTAACTGCTTATGGTCGGTGAGTCAGCCAAGAAAAAGACTGAGAAAGGCTAGGATTGTGCACCTGTCTCTGGGTCTCTTGAACAACTTGAGCTGGCTCTCCTTGCCCCCTTGCTCTTGGCTTCTGGTAAAGGTGTTCGGAAAGTGCTCCCTGGTAGTCTAGCAGCCCCATCTTACATCTTCAGTATCTGTTATCAGGTGTGTGGATTTAGGATGGGTATCATTGAAAAGTCTTGTAATAGTTTTATGTATTTTGTTTTGAAGCAATTCGCTCTGGTTCAGAAGAGGTGTTTAGGAGCAGTGCCCTGAAGCAGTTGCTGGAAGTGGTTTTGGCATTTGGAAATTACATGAATAAAGGCCAAAGAGGCAATGCATATGGATTCAAGATATCCAGCCTAAATAAGATTGCTGACACAAAATCCAGTATCGATAAGTAAGTATGGAAGATCTGGGAGCTTAGGTCGGGGCTCAACCTTGTACCCTCTGGTCCTCCTGGGCCTCTTCATCCCAAAGTGTCTGGTCTGCACTTCTTCTCCTGCTCTTTCCTTCTCCACTGACTCCTCCCTTCCTGTCTCATGACCACACGTATCCCCAAGTTCCCACTGGGCCAGTTATCCTTCATTTTCATTCCACAAGGATATCATCTAGTCCAAGTTTTTTGTGTTTGGGGTTTTCTCGGGTAAACTCATTACAGTGTAATACACGAAAGACAGGTTCACTCACTGTAAAGGTACAGCTTGATGACTTTTCACAAATTGAACACATCTGTATAACTAGTGCCCAGTTCAAGAAACAGAACCTTACCAGCACCCTAGTAGCCCCCTCACGGCCTCTCCTAATTGCTACTCCTCCACAGAGATTAAAAAACTGACAGCTGATGACAGAATGTGAAGTTTGTTGGCTTTTTAGGTTATGGTTTCCTTGGTACCTGGAAGCTAGCAGCTACCTTAAAAAATGACAATGTATAAATGCATTTTGGCTGTTGGTATTCAGCTGCTCATCCCAAGACTCATTAAAATAGAAAGTGTGTTTTAGGTGAACAGATTCCTGTTAGAGACACCAGAAGGTGAAAATGTGCTAGTGTCATTTCCAGGTAAGGGCATTAGGCATATTAACTCTAGCCTCCCTGAGAGCTGTGTTTCCCACTGACTTGGAAGGAATTTGTTTCTAAGGTAAACTTCTCTGTAACCTGAATTATTTTTAGAAGTATAGGCTGTTCACCCTAATTATTCCCAACCAGTGAGACTTTTTATTCTATATTTTCTATAGGGCCAGTGAAGCATAGCATTATGGCAACCCTGAATCCATCGTATAAGAAACAAGCAGTGTGTTCAGTTGTGGGGCTAAACCTTATTTTTGCATAGTGTAGAAATAGATTAACAAAGCACAGCTGATACGTTCTATCAACACCACCTTATTTTTCTTTGAATTTTATTACTTTTTATACAGCACGTTCCTATTAGTTATCTATTTTATACACATCAGTGTATATATGTCAATCCCAATCGCCCAATTCATCACACCACCCCCACACCCCCACTTTCCCCCCTTAGTGTCCATACGTTTGTTCTCTACATCTGTCTCACTTTCTGCCCTGCAAACCAGTTCACCTGTACCATTTTTTTAGATTTCACATATATGTGTTAATATATGATATTTGTTTTTCTCTTTCTTACTTCACCCTGTATGGCAGTCCCTAGGTCCATCTGCGTCTCTACAAATGACCTTTTCGTTCCTTTTTATGGCCGAGTAATATTCCATTGTATATATGTACCACATCTTCTTTATCCATTCATCTGTCGATGGGCATTTAGCTTGCTTCCATGACCTGGCTGTTGTAAATAGTGCTGCAGTGAACATTGGGGTGCATGTTTTTGAATTATGGTTTTCTCTGAACACCACCTTATTTTTAATGTAAGCACTTGATCCTTTCAGAGCCCGTTCACATTTGATTGTCACAACAACCTGTGAAGTCCCCAGGCCAAGTGTTGTATCACCTGTTGTCAGATAAAGAAACTGAGGCAGGGTCAGGTGGCCCATTTAGCTTGTCTGAGGTCACAACCAGCAAGGTGTTTGGCCTTACAGGTATTTGACAGTTGTTCTAGTGGTCTGCCTACAGCTCTCCTCTACCAACAGACCGATTTTATTTGGAGGTTGCAGTAACTGCAGCATCTTACTTGCATATAAAGAGCAGCCATCTTTTAAGGAACAGTATTCTCTTCAACTGGGCTTGCAGGTTGGGGAGGAAGGAAATCCTCACATCTTCCAGATTTTTCTTCCATGTGCTTTTTTTCTTTCCCTCTCTCCCTTCCTTGCTTTTCTCCTTCCCTACTTCTCTCCTTCCTTCCTCCCTCCCTCCCTTCCCCTCTCCCCTCACTCATACACACACACTCACACACACACATTTGCCCCCCACCTTCCAACTTACTGATAAGCTGGCACTTACTACATGATCATCTGCTAGTTAGTGATATAAAATTTATCCAATACACAATAAGCCTTTTCAAAACAATAAATTAAAAACATTTCTGATCTTCTTTTCCTTCTTCACTCTGCATTAAAGGCTTGTTTCTGGTAATGACCAGAGAGTAGTCAAATGTGAGGCTGTTTAGTTGTTGTTTTTATTATTCAGGAATTTATATTCACTCATATGAGGTGTTATTTGGATAGCAAACAAATGTGGTTTGCTATCCAAATGTGACCTGGTTTTAAGTCTTTCTACACTGAAAAAGGCATATATGGTTAATTAAATAAATTTCTCTAACAAAGCATTTCTCTGAAATAATGAAGGAAAATGGCATTACTCTTTCTCACGATGGTTGCTGGGATTTTGCCTCTCATGCAGCCGGCACATGGCAGACACATAGATTCTGTGAAAGGCAAAATTGAAGTGGAACAATACAGCTGAACACCTGCAAAATAAGTGGCCAGAACTACTAGCCACTGTTTTACTTTGCTGAGCAATGGTTTTCTAATTATTAGCGCAAGAAAAATAAGGGGAAATTTTTTTCTGTGTGGGCCAGTTGACTCAGAGGAATAGGATTGCATTGACCTCTAGGAAGCTGCAAGGATAACCAGAAATGGTTTGCATTGCTATGGGGAAAAAATTGTTTGGCAGCTCTGCTTTACTTTTGTTGGGGGGCGGGGCGGGGGTACTTAGCCTTGTGAATTAGCAAACTGCCTAAAAATTATGGAAATGTTTTTAAAGAAATGCATTTGTGTCCTCCTGATTATGCTAACTTTCAATAGCATAAGTGGTTCTTGATCTTGGCAGTTAGTCTCAGTGGGGAGTTTTAAAAAATACCCACATCTGGTCCCACCTCATTCCAATGACTGAATCTCAGGTTGGCCCAGGCATCTGGGGTCCAGGTGATTGTAATGTGCATCAGAGTCGGGGACCAGGGGACCAGACTACCACAGCGTGGCCTCACAGATAGTGTTATCAGATGCCCGCCTTTTCAACCCAGGCCAGTCAGGGTTCAGCCCTGTCACCACCAAAGAGGGAGCTGGTTGTGCAGTTAGGAGCTGAAGTGTTGCTAAAATTAGGCTGTGAGGGTATCATATCCATGATGGCACAGTCCTGGCCCATTTCCAGGTCCTGCCCTGAAATAGGGGGCATTCTAACTTTCAGAAGGGAAAAATGTTATCACCCAGTTGAAAGAAACCCTTAAATGAGAATTGTCAGTAATTTTCATCAGTGAGTTGCTGCTCTGTACTTTCAGACTTGAAAATTAGCTGTCCTCTCTAGTGGATTAAACATCCCTCACTCCCCACCCCACCCTGCTTGTTAGGAACTTGCAGGGCAGGCCTCGTCTTTGGGTGGATGCACTGTGAAGGGATGTCCCTTTTGGCAATGGTTCAGACTCATTTCCATCACCCATCGCATTACGCAGATTTTGAAGGATCCCCATTATGGGCCAAAAACGTAATTCTTATCCCCTGCCCTTCCCTTTCAGAAGATGTGTGCTTCTTTTGACATAAATTTTTGTAAATCCCATGAAGGCTCTCCTCTTCTCCCTTTCTCTTAAGAATGCCTGCCTTTCAGGAACCTACACATTTTGAAAGTAATGCAGGGATGTAGCATTCTTGTGGAAGTAATCACTTGAATATACAAATCATATGTAGATATTAACCATGTTTAATACTCTCTCCTTCTGTAATTGTAGGAACATTACACTTTTGCACTATCTCATAACTATTGTGGAAAATAAATACCCCAAGGTTCTCAATCTAAATGAGGAGCTGCGGGACATTCCTCAAGCAGCAAAAGTAAAGTAAGTACTTAGAGTGAATTGTTTCAGTTTTTTAAATCCGTTGGACTGTGGTTTAGCCGTTGAGATAGTTAGCGTTGCATGAAGAGGGTCCTTCTGTTTGCTTTCCCCTGAACAGTGTATGAAATAAAGTTTGAATAGTATCCACGTCACTCAGATGTGTTACATGAGTTTGAATATACGGTTGACTCTTGAACGGGGGGGTTAAGGGTGCCGACACCCCCCGAATCCCCACTGCACAGCTGAAAATCCAACATATAACTTCATAGCTGACCCTTCCTGTGCGGGGTTCCTCAATACCCGTGGTCCCACATCTGAGGATTCGGTCAACCGCAGATCATGTAGTACATAATTATTGAAAAAAAATCTGCGTATAAGTGGACCCGCACAGTTCACACCTGTGTTGTTCAAGGGTCACTGTATACTTGTTCTAGCTGTTTCGGAATATTCCTGGATGCAGTTTCTAACTTCTACGAAACCTAATTTTCTGAGTTATGAAGAGTCTAGGGAAGCAGTGTGGTTTCACTAGTAGTTGGAAAGGGTGGTTCTCTTAAAATACAGGTGGGAGCACCCTTAGTTAAATGAGGATATGAGGATACATCTTTAAGCAAATGGAAGTCCTGCAGGTCAGGGTGTTGCTAGTAATTTTCCCATGTGTACACACTCCCAGAAACCAAGCAACATTTTAATGGAAAGCAGTCTTTATGCAAATGAAGGAACTAAAAATAAAGTGGAAAGTCACTAAACTTTCCCCACAAACTTCACACCACTTTTCAGAGACCTCATGAGGGGCAGGCACTTTTCCTTGCTGTTCTTCCTGCTTCCTTTTGCCCCCACCCCGCCTTTTTAAAATGTTTATTTTATTTATTTTTCGCTGCGTTGGGTCTTGGTTGTCCTGCGCGGGCTTTCTCTAGTTGTGGCGATAGGGGACTACCCTTCGTTGCGGTGCACGGGCTCCAGGCGCATGGGCTCACTAGTTGTGGCTCGCGGGCTCTAGAGCACAGGCTCAGTAGTTGTGGCGCACGGGCTTAGTTGCTCCGCGGCATATGGGATCTTCCCCGACCAGGGCTTGAACCCGTGTCCCTTGCATTGGCAGGTGGATTCTTAACCACTGTGCCACCAGGGAAATACCCCACTCCCCTTTTTTAAAAACATATTTAAACTGCATCTTTTTGCAGTGATTTTAAAAAGCCTGATGAGCAGGCTAATTTTTTCCCTCTGTAGAGTTTGGTAGAAATGTACCATGTGAGACATGAAATTAAAATGTTGAAGTAAATGAAGTGTCAATGAATTTGTTTACATGTGAATTCTCTGTGAGAATTAAGTTGTAATCTCTCATGTTTAAAAGCTGTCAAACAAAAAGCATTATGGGAGAAGCCCAGGAAACTTTCTCTGTTTAAAAAAAAAAAAAAAGGTCAATGAAAATGAAAACTAATTAGTAAAACTTTAAGAAAAATCACTGTTGATTGAAATGTAGGCCATCACCTTGTAATATGCATACTACCAGAGCATTCATGAAAAGCAATATAATAATAATGAAGAACACAACACACACGATTGAGGATCAACTGTTTCTTTTCCTTGTCCAAAGGGAGCCACACATGGCAAGAAATTCATTTCCACATACAGTAATTTGCTTAAGTGAGATTTTTGTGAGATTGAAACATGACATATTTCTCTTCTGCCCTTTTTAACCTATAAATATTATAGCTGTTGGCTGTGGAAAACAAAAAAGAAACATAATTCTATACCTAAATTTCATAAGTTTAAAATGTTGCTGTCTTTCTGTGAGATCTGAACACTGAAGGGAATTTGAAACATTTACAATGAAGTAGTGTGGAGTTCCAAGCATGAAATATTTAAACTCATCATATATTTAATACAATAAGTGTAAGTCCCATGTTGGTTACTAAAATGTTGCCATTTACAACAGCATGACTGAGCTGGACAAAGAAATAAGCACCTTGAGAAGTGGCCTGAAAGCAGTAGAGATGGTGAGTATGTTTCTCATCCTAATTCCCAGTCCCTTCACTCTCTCTGGTGCTGGTGATGGCATTCAGCAGAGGAGTTGCTGGTTGCCTTGGCATGCATGATAAACATTTATTGTTTAGAAAAAAGAAAAAAAAAATGCAACAACGAAGAAGCAAAGGCAGGCTGTGTTTAGCCTGGTGATGCAGTGGCAGGCGGCAGGATGTCATGGGGGCATCAGGGGGACAGGAACTGGGAAATCGGACTCAGAGTTCCACCACTTTCCTACCTGTGAGGCAGGACTCATGAAAGTGGATTGGCTAGAGAGTCTTCAAGGTCTTCTCAGTGTTTCTGTTTATAAATGATGTTTACTCTCAGAGCAATGGAACTTTTCTGTTGTCTTTGAGCCGGTCCCTTGGGGAGTATTTTTTGAGCTCTTTGGGGGTACAGTCCATTCTCAAGGCGAGGGGATCACGATGACTCAGAATCCTTACCCTCCAGGTGTTACAGTGGCCAGGAGCAGTCAGTCCAGTTCACCTCCTAAGTGATGACAAAGGTGCCTTGAGGAGGATCGGGGATTTAGGTTAGCCCGAGGCTTCGGGAATGGCTGGCGTGTGTGAGAGGAAGCTTCTCCTCTGGACGAGATGAACTTTGAGCTGTGGCTTAGAAGGAGGGTAGGGTGAACTTAGGTACAGAGGAGGGAGGCTGTCCCAGCTATACGAGATGACCTGGGCCCGGGCTCCATGGAAGGAAAGCAGGTCAGGGTGCCGGAGGCAGTGGAGCCGGTGGAACTAACCCAGACTGTGAGGGCGCAGTGCCCTGTGGGTACTGCACGAGGGTTGCTGACAGGGCGGGGGCGGGTCAGGGTGAGAAGCCTCGCTCGGGAGAGCAGAGCTCTGGCCTGGCACTTGGTGAAGGAGGCTGGTCTGCAGGCAGCTCGGGAAGGTGCCCCACAGATCATTTATTAGTAATGCCAGGAGGACCCTCCTCCTTTTTTAAAAATAAATTTATCTATTTTTTATTTTGTCTGCATTGGGTCTCCGTTGCCGCTTGCCGGCTTTCTCTAGTTGAGGCGCGCAGGCTTCTCAGTGCGGTGGCTTCTCGTTGCAGAGCACGGGCTCTAAGTGTGTGGGTTTCAGTAGTTGCGGCACCCGGGCTTCAGTGGTTGCGGCACACGGGCTTCAGTAGTTGTGGCTCGTGGGCTTAGTTGCTCCACGACATGTGGGATCTTCCCGGACCAGGGCTCAAACCCGTGTCCCCTGCATTGGCAGGTGGATTCTTATCCACTGCGCCGCCAGGGAGGTCCCACCTCCTCCTCCTTATAATCATAAAACCGTGCCATAGAAAGTAGTTGACTTCATTAAAGAAACAGCTCTAATAAAAATTAGAGTCACAGTGTCTAACCTTTTCTATTTTTAATAAATTAAGGAGCATGTAAGGTTTTCTTTTTTTCCTTATTTTGGGGGAGGGGGTGGGGGTGGGTCGCTGTTTAAAAAGAGCAGTAGTTACTCTTTTTTCCAGCCCCTGTGGGCTGAGAGACTGTGAGTGCGCGTGGAGGACGGTCCTCGGCTTTCAGAGGCCAAACTGGATAAGGGCATTTTGGGACATGGCTTGTGTTATAGCCTTCACTCTGTGGCCATTTCCTCCCAGTGGGAAGCTTTCTTGAGACTAGCATGGCAGTGACTGACAGTCCTAAAGCCTGACAATGGAGGCTCTGACCCCTGCATCTGAGCTAGTTCAGAGCAAGGCATGAGAGAGGGGTCCCAAGGAAGTTATGTGTTTGGGGGGTTTATTAAAGGTTGTTTTGCTGAAATCTCTCTAGCCCCTGGGTCATGTACAATGTAACACACTCTTCACAGGAAAGGGGCTACAGAGGCCTCCCCCTCCCTCTGGCAGCTTAAATGTTAAGAGGAAGGAAATATTGGGAGGCAGACTTTAATCCGTCGAAACATTCATGTGTCCCAGTTGTTCTTTTCACAAATTGATTACATTGCCTGAAGGTATCAAAGACAGAATTCTTATGGAATTATACATTCATGAAACACTTTAAAATTGCTTTCACATCTCTGCACCTCACACACATACATACACTCCCTTTCCAGGTCAAAGAACTAGGATTGTGGCAATTTCTTTTAATCAGAGCAAGTTTCATGATTTATAAGGGTTTCTGCTTCTTTTCTTGCATTTGATTCCCATGATGATGTGTATATTGCCCTCCTTTCTTTCTTTCTTTCTTTCTTTCTTTCTTTCTTTCTTTCTTTATTTATTTATTTATTTTTAAACATCTTTATTGGAATATAATTGCTTTACAATGGTGTGTTAGTTTCTGCCGTATAAAAAAGCGAACCAGTTATACATATACATATGTTCCCATATCTCTTACCTCTTGCATCTCGCTCCCTCCCTCCCACCCTCCAAATCCCACCCCTCTAGGTGGTCACAAAGCACCGAGCTGATCGCCCTGTGCTATGCGGCAGCTTCCCACTAACTATCGATTTTACGTTTGGTAGTGTATATATGTCCATGCCATTCTCTCACTTTGTCACAACTTACCCTTCCCCCTCCCCATATCCTTAAGTCCATTCTCTAGTAAGTCTGTCTCTTTATTCCCATCTTGCCCCTAGGCTCTTCATGACTTTTTTTTTTTCTCCTTAGATTCCATATATATGTGTTAGCACACGGTATTTGTTTTTCTCTTTCTGACTTACTTCACTCTGTATGGCAGACTCTGGGTCCATCTACCTCACTACAAATAACTCAATTTCGTTTCTTTTTATGGCTGAGTAATATTCCATTGTATATATGTGCCACATCTTCTTTATCCATTCATCTGTTCATGGACACTTAGGTTGCTTCCATGTCCTGGCTATTGTAAACAGAGCTTCAATGAACATTGTAGTACATGACTCTTTTTGAGTTATGGTTTTCTCATGGTATACGCCCAGTAGTGGGATTGCTGGGTCATATGGTCATTCTATTTTTAGTTTTTTAAGGGACCTCCATACTGTTCTCCATAGTGTCTGTATCAATTTACATTCCCACCAACAGTGCAAAAGTGTTCCCTTTTCTCCACACCCTCTCCAGCATTTATTGTTTGTAGATTTTTTGATGATGGCCATTCTGACTGGTGTGAGATGATATCTCATTGTAGTTTTGATTTGCATTTCTCTAATGATTAATGATGTTGAGCATTCTTTCATGTGTCTGTTGGCAATCTGTATATCTTCTCTGGAGAAATGTCTATTTAGGTCTTCTGCCCAGTTTTGGATTGAGTTGCTTTTTTGATATTGAGCTGCATAAGCTGTTTGTAAATTTGGGAGATTAATCCTTTGTCAGTTGCTTCATTTGCAAATATTTTCTCCCATTCTGAGGGTTGTCTTTTCATCTTGCTTATGGTTTCCTTTGCTGTGCAAAAGCTTTGAAGTTTCATTAGGTCCCATTTGTTTATTTTTGTTTCTATTTCCATTTCTCTAGGAGGTGGGTCCAAAAGGATCTTGCTGTGATTTATGTCATAGAGTGTTCTGCCTGTGTTTTCCTCTAACAGTTTGATAGTGTCTGGCCTTACATTTAGGTCTTTAATCCATTTTGAGTTTATTTTTGTGTATGGTGTTAGGGAGTGTTCTAATTTCATACTTTTACATGTACCTGTCCAGTTTTCCCAGCACCCCTTATTGAAGAGGCTGTCCTTTCTCCACTGTACATTCCTGCCTCCTTTATCAAAGATAAAGTGACCATATGTGCGTGGGTTTATCTCTGGGCTTTCTATCCTGTTCCATTGATCTATCTTTCTGTTTCTGTACCAGTACCATACTGTCTTGATTACTGTAGCTTTGTAGTATAGTCTGAAGTCAGGGTGCCTGATTCCTCCAGCTCCAATTTTCATTCTCAAGATTGCTTTGGCTATTCGGGGTCTTTCATGTTTCCATACAAATTGTGCGATTTTTTTGTTCTAGTTCTGTGAAAAATGCCAGTGGTAGTTTGATAGGGATTGCATTGAATCTGTAGATTGCTTTGGATAGTAGAGTCATTTTCACAATGTTGAATTTTCCAATCGAAGAACATGGTGTATCTCTCCATCTATTTGTGCCATCTTTAACTTCTTTCATCAGTGTCTTATAATTTTCTGCATACAGGTCTTTTGTCTTCTTAGGTAGGTTTATTCCTAGATATTTCATTCTTTTCGTTGCAGTGGTAAATGGGAGTGTTTTCTTAATTTCACTTTCAGATTTTTCATCATTAGTGTATAGGAATGCTAGAGATTTCTGTGCATTTATTTTGTACCCTACTACTCTACCAAATTCATTGATGAGCTCTAGTAGTTTTCTGGTAGCATCTTTAGGATTCTCTATGTAGAGTAACATGTCATCTGCAAACAGTGACAGTTTTACTTCTTCTTTTCTGATTTGGATTCCTTTTATTTCTTTTTCTTCTCTGATTGCTGTGGCTGAAACTTCCAAAACAATGTTGAACAATAGTGGTGAGAGTGGGCAACCTTGTCTTGTTCCTGATCTTAGTGGAAATGGTTTCAGTTTTTCCCCATTGAGGACGATGTTGGCTGTCGGTTTGTCATATATGCCCTTTATTATGTTGAGGAAAGTTCCCTCTATGCCTACTTTCTGCAGGGTTTTTATCATAAATGGGTGTTGAATTTTGTCGAAAGCTTTCTCTGAATTGATGGAGATGATCATATGGTTTTTATTCTTCAATTTGTTAATATGGTGTATCACATTGATTGTTTTGCGTATACTGAAGAATCCTTGCCTTCCTGGGATAAACCCCACTTGATCACGGTGTACAGTCCTTTTACTGTGCTGTTGGATTCTGTTTGCTAGTATTTTGTTGAGGATTTTTGCATGTATGTTCATCAGTGATATTGGCCTGTAGTTTTCTTTTTTGTGGCATTTTTGTCTGGTTTTGGTATCAGGGTGATAGTGGCCTCGTAGAATGGGTTTGGGAGTGTTCTTCCCTCTGCTATATTTTGAAGAGTTTGAGAAGGATAGGTGTTAGCTCTTCTCTAAATGTTTGA